ATGTGCATGTTATACAAAACAAACCTGACAAGTAGGTTGTGGCATTATATGTAGTAATAATTTTAGGCTTAAATCCCATTAACACAGCAAAAATAGTGTTTCTTGTGCACTTTAAATCCTGGCTGAGCAAAACAGCCAGCAGAGTGGGTCAGCTTCTACTTGGTTAGCACTGCACAGACAAATCAGCTGGAGTCCTTGGGGCTTTCCCCCAGAGTGAGGAGGACTGTGTATGACACCATGTAGCTGCAGTCCTGCACCCTTGGAGGAGTCAGGTGCACACAGACCCCTCTGAGGGCTCACAGCATCAGGGCTGCCATCCTGCAGAAATACGGAATCTAGCCGCATGGATGGATAATGGCCTGTGCGAAGGTAGGCAGGACCTTGTGGCAAAAATATATTCCTTGGGAGAGAAGGTGAGTAATGACATTTTGAGAAGCACTGAAAGTTTAGAATATCTGGTTGCTGACTGTTCTTCTCTGAAGAACTGGTATTTTTAAATCACCATATTATCATATCCTCACTGTTTTCAGTGAAATCAAGCACTCTTTTGCATAATAACTTATGCTTTTTCTGTAAATTAAAAACAATTGATAACTTTATAGATATACCTTGTCATTTTTGGGTTTCTTTTTTCTTAAAATTTCTGTAATTTCAGAGTTTTCAGAATTACATGTTTACTCATAAGCATGTGGGCAAGATTGTACTCTAATGTCTCTGCTCTTAATTTCCAGCTTAATGATTAGTTACTTAAAAATTAATAATTTCTTGTTAATAATTGGTTTTTAGTAGATTGTTGCAATTTGTTAAGTATGCTATAGACATATTTACGAAGATATTAGATGGATTCTGTTATCCTTCTTCTATATGTTCCACAGTACATACAGTACATACTGTACTGTATTTTAGAAGTAGAATCAGCCCTGAAGCTACTTGCTTCAAAAACAGAACTATGATTAATTCAGTGCCAAATATTTATGCATCAGACAAAAATAAATTTGTATTCTTTGTAAATTCAAACAAGACAAATTAGGTGGTAATTAAAACTCTTTCATATACTTCAGAACATACTGATTCACTCTTTTTTGCCTTCAGAGAAAACATGTTTCTAAGGCATAACGAAACACATAAGTAATGCTTTTGTGCAAAGAAATGTCAGTGTTTAGTGTGTACAACATTCCTTATATTGTGTTCTGGACCCAGTTAGAATCATAGAATGACTTGGGTTGTCCACCACTGTCCACTTCTTGTCATGATGGACAGAAGAAAATTAACTCAACCCTGGCCAAAACCAGCACACTACTGCACAGCTGTTGCTACAATATTAAGCTTAATTTGACACTTCCTTATGTCCCACCTTCTAGTTTCAGGGGGCTGTGGTCACAAAATGGGACATAAGTTCTTGTGCATGTGAGGTATTGGTCCTAAATAATGTAGGGTTTGTGTTTGATCAGCAGATGCTTGCAAGAATAAGGGTAAAATTAAGAAAAAAACCCTTGTTTTATTTGTTCAGTCTGTAAATAATATTCTAAATACTTGCAGTCAACAGTAGCTTTAGCTTTTTATCAATTTGTAGCCTTTATAGAGCATGTTTAATTTTTAATTCTTAAAGCACTTTTATAAACGATTTTTTTTTGAAGCTGTGGGTTTGGACCTAACAGTGTCTTAAGGGATGTCTCAGTGGCTCACACAGTACTTAACTAGGGAAAAAATAACCAGGTGAGATATAGATTTTTCTTTAAACTTTTCACCTCTCAGGCACTCAGGATCATAGTTCACAGGACAATCTTTTGTTGTAATACGTGAAATTTGTGTACTCTCTGACGAGATTTAGTTATTAACAGGGGCCATTATCGAAACCCAGTTGGCCTTACGAATTTTACCTGTACGTAATCCACGTGTTTCATTTGCATGCGGCCTTCCATGCCGATTAACCCAGGGAAAAGAAGACAAACCGTGAGTTTCTTGTCGGTGACACGCGAAGCACGACGGAAAAACAGGAGGCAGAGGGAGGGGAAGCGTGATGCCACGCTGCCACCTACTGTCACCCCGCGGGCTGCTGGGAGCCCTTTCATCCCTGAAATAAATATTGGACAGGAGGGCCGAGAGAACATCAGCGAGGGACCCTGAGAGCCACGGGTCTTAACTGATTCAGAGATTCCAGACACCCTCTCCCAGGGTGTTCCTATGCATCCCAAACACTTACAGTCGTTGCTTACAATAAATACTAACAAACAGGAGCTCGTTTATGGTATTTATGTAATAACATAGTACACAAGATTTTAAAAAATCACAATGTGGTTTGCCTGTACTTGATGTGGCAGGTAGAAACAGAAAGTCCTTAAGCAGCTCGGAGCTAGATCTTTATCTGCAGAGTACAAAAAGGGCCTTGACAAAAGGCACGGTGTGACTGTCCAGTCCAAATTCGTCTTTGCCAGCACTTGATTCAGATAGCCAAGTCCAGACTCTCCCACTGCAATGCTTCGGAAGTTTCCACTCACCGGCATGTAAGCAATACAGGACCCCCAAGCTGCTGGAGACTCACCTATTCCCACGTTCCCAGGCACATGAAGTCCTCTAAGGAGCCTTTTTTGCAGTTGTCATTTGCTGTAAAAACTGATAACATGTATCAACAGCAATGGAGTACAAAAGCTCGGAAAGGTACACATTCTCTGCTGCATGAATAATCTAACAAATTGGCCGAGCTCTATGGGAAACCTCGGCGTGTTTGCTTAGGCTCACTTGAAGTGCAAATAGTCATAAGTATTCATGACAGAGGGTTTTATTTTTTATGAAACAAACAAGCTGAAATGCATTATATTACATTCAAACTGAAGAAAATGTATTCTGCTAGCATTGGGTTGACAGATTTTTGCATGTCAAAATGCCCTAATCCCTATTTAAATTAAAACTTTGGCTACAAAAAGGGAAATTATTACAATAAAGTAACCTGGATGCTTTTTCTTGCCTTTTTTTTTTTTTTTTGTGAGGTTTTTATATCATTATACTGGTTTTCCACAATTAAGGCTATGAATAAGCTTCTAATAATAAACTCTCAGTGTTCTTTCTGAGATGGGGTTCTTTAGAAACTTTTCAAACTGAAGAGACTGAGCTCTGGGACACAGTGGTTCGTAAGAGGACACGTTCTTCAGCTGGATAAATTGAAGGAATGGCAGCTTTGTAATAAACCTCCAGATTGTATGCCTCCAGCAAAGAACAAATTAAAAGGAAAAACAAACAGCACTGCCACATCAGATCCATCTCCCATTACCTTGGACCTTTCCAATTACCAACATCTCCAAAAGCAATTGTTCCGCTTCTGAACTGTAAATCCATCTGAAAACTTTTTATGAATTAAACCTACATTTCTAAAAGGAGATGTCTGAGAAAGTTTCACTTGAAAACTTAGTATTTACAGGATGTACAATTTATGTATTGCAGCCATAAAATGCACAGAGTGCCTCTTATGTATGATTTATGATATAAATAGATGCATACTTATAATTTAAATGCTTAGTACAGCTTTTATTGGATTTTTATATTTCTGTATAAGAAAACATAACATGTAAAAATAGGAATGTTTTTATATTGTGCTTATATAGGCACTACCTGTATTGAAATTTTTCTGAAAGGACATTCAATGCTGGTAGGATTTGTGTGCCTATATAATCAGTTAAGCATATCTGCTGGTATTTTGAAACCTGGAAATTTCAAATTTCTTCCAGAATCGACAAGAATCAAACTAAGAGCATGAACTTTTTAAAAAAATACTGTAACAGAACAGTGTTAATTTAGATTATGTTTCTGCATGCGTTATTTTCATTTTCTGTATAGAAGACAAAGCTTACTGAGGTGCTTGTGACACCGTATTATTCAAGATAAAAAAGAAGGTACCTGACATAAAAACTGCAGAAGGGCATTATGGAATTGAGTGATGGGCAAATACAGCAATGAAATTTAATGCAGATAAACATCAAAGAATATCCATAATAACAAAAAAAAAGTCTTCATTTCACACACTGAATGACAAACTTTGAACTGAGCATCACTCGAGAATAAGATCTCAGAGTTATGGCAGATTTTTCCAAAGAAATGCCAGCCCAGTGTTCAGCAGTGGCAAATGGAATGCCATACAGCTCAAAAAAGAGCAGGAAGATGGAACAGCTTTCATGTCAAGGATGGCCAGATAGGCGTGGGAGAGAGAAGTGGAGAGCAGTCTGTGTTACCGTGGCCTAGATGAGAGCAGGTTGTTTGTTGTCCCCTCCAGTACAAGGACTGGGGACATCGAGTGACAAGATCAGAATCAGGTTCAAAACGAAAAAAAAAAAAAAAAGGTGCTCTTCAAATCAAAGGTTATTTGAGCTCTAGAGGTACTCGCCAAAGGATATTATGGACAATGAAAATTTAAATGGGTCAATGAGAGACTGAATAAGTTTATGCAAGAGAGATCAGCTTTATTTCCCTATCCTTGTTTAAAGATTTCTTAATGCATCTTTTTTTAATGTTCTGCCTTTCTTGCTTTCATCAGACCATGTCCTTCTACCTAAAACATTCTCGTAAGTGCCATAGAATTTATTTCCAAACAGGAGACTGACAGAATGGTAGGCTAAATAAATAGTTCTTTCTGTAATTATCCTAATTTCTAATAGCTTCATCATATTGCCTGGGAAAAATGCTGATAGCTGTTCTGTGAGACCTTGTTTGCAAGGAATGTGTCCTCAATTCGACAAAATGTTTATTCACGAGTCAGAAGAAGATACTATTAGTATAAATAAAAGACAAACGTGCAAATATTTGCAAGAATATAATTGTCAAGTGGCTTCTAAGAAATTTAACAGCATGCCTTAGGCATAATTAATAAGACCTGTAGTCTATATCACGCATAAAAACAGTGTTGTGTAGCAGTTCTTGTGGTTTAACACTGCTAATTTTCTTACCCGGTTTTGCAGGTTGTACCCGTGTTTAGATAGGAGTGATGAGAATAAGCAGAGACGTGATTAAATCTGATTTGGCACAACTCCTTTGTAAATAAAACAAAAAAACAAAAAACAAAAACCAGAAGCGAACAAACGACGAGGCGCAGCGGCGCGAGCCCCCTCAGCACCGGCCTGGGCGCGAGGGGCGGGGGGAGCGCGGCCCGCGATTGGCTCCGAGAGGGGCCCCTGCGTCACGTGATCCTCAGAGCGCTCCTTATAGCCGCGCGCCAGGCGCGAGAGGGTGGCTGGGTTTGTGAGTGCGCGCCGTTGGGTCTGTGCGGGGGCGGCCGCCGGTGAGCGGGGAGGAGGAGGGAGCGGGGCCGGCGGGCTCGGGAGCGGGGCGGGAAGGACGAGAAGGGGCTGCCCTCCATCTCGGTTAGGCTTGCTCTCGGGGTCGGGCCGCAAGCTTCCATGGCCGAGTTTGGGTGTTGGCGGGCTCCTGCCTCGCTATTCCCCATTGGCGGCGCGCGCGGAGGGAGGGGCCCCGCGAGCTCGGCTGGCGGGAGCGGGACGGGGGAATGGTGTGGGTGAGTGTCCGGCTCCCGCCAGCCATGTTGGGTGTCCATCCTTGCGGGAAGGCCGGTGGGCTGGAGCGGGGACGGGGGAATGGTGTGGGTGAGTGTCCGGCTCCCCCCAGCCATGTTTTGAGTGTCCGTCCCTGTGGGAAGGCCGGTGGGTGCTGTGGCGGCGTGGGGCCTTGCCTTCCGCTGCTGCCTTGGGTCCAGCCTCAGGAGGGGCTCTGGAGGAGCCCATTGGCCACGCCGTGCATGGCTGAGTACTTAGGGCTGCCATAAAATAATCCCAAATTGTAATGTTCTCTAACTAGTGTTGCCCGAACTTCAGGAGTAGATGGATGCTGTATTAATTTTACTGGTTTTCTGTCGCAGTTGATCTTATGAATTCCAAAATGAAACAGAAGCTGACCGCGGAAAAGTCCTCAGGATCTTTGCAGGTATAGGCTTTAAAGCCTTTAAGCTAGTACCCCTGTCTGCCACAGGCTTCTCTGTCCCCTGAACGCGTATAAAAGGATCTGTTGCAATGTGCTTCCACCTGGCTTATGTCCATTTGGCTTGAGTAACCTCCTGGCAGACACTGTGGCTTGGGAACATGCTGTCCTGCTTGGGCATATGTTCTTATGGCTACTTTTTTTCCTATTGCTCAGCAGGGCCTTTTTACTTTGACACTGAGCTTACTGTCTCTCCGTTTAATTTTTCAGGGTTGGTTTGCTTTGTTTGTCCTGACTATGTGCCTTTGCTTACTGAATCTGTCTGGCTTATGCTTAGGGCTTGTAGAGTAGGTTTTGTAGGCCGTGCTTTATGGGTGGGAACCTTATGAAGGGTTGTATCTGTTTTGTGTTGAACATGTTTGAACTGAAGTATTCAAGCAAACAGTTCACTTTCTAAACTCCCCCTCATGGATTATAGTTACCTTGGAATTGTTGGAAATGTTTTAACAATTCAGGTTTTTTAAGAGTTAAGGGATTAGGTACAAACCTTAGTAACTTTTCATGGTAAATCTTCTAATGTAGGCCCTAATCAGAATGGTATGAAACTGTATATAACAGAGGCTAGTGGCTCTTGTATGATAAGGCATAGTGACTGGAATGAAAACTTCAGGTATTATTGAAAATTGCCAATTGATAGGTCTGATTTATGGCAGTCTTGCCCCATAATGTGTCTAGGGTATAAACTGTTCCGAGTGGCTTTTTGCACTTTCATGGGTTGACTTGAGTATTGGCGAGTAATTTCTTGGCAGAGTATACGCAACTCTAATCCTAAGTAGCAGCAAGCAGTGTCTGACACACGGTGTGATTCTTGTTCCCACAGCAGTTAATGTTTGTCCTTTAGTGGAACAGTAGGATAATTGGTGGCAGAAACTACCGTGGGAAAGGTGAGCTCTTGTCCTGTGAAGTACGGTGTGAATCGGTAACTTTCTCACGCTGGTGTGGCATTGTATCCTGGCTGTTCTTGCTTGGTTGTCTGCCATTGTTTGCTATCCCATGGTGGCAGTGTAACCAGACCAATCAGAAAGCTTTGATGCAGGAAAGAGGTATTTATGCATGATAGGAAGGGTGGTAAACACACTGGTTAGACAAAACAATAGCCTGTCTGGATCGAAGCAAGGAAGCTTTTGATCCGTTTTAATGGATAATCAAAGTAACACATCTATTGAAATGAGCGCTGCTTGATGGTGTGTTCACAGGTTGCAAAAACAGCTACTGCCTGAAGTGATGTGCCTTTACCACCTAACCTTGCAAGTGCAATCACTTTTGTCCCCGTCCCCAAGAGTCTGAGACTGCTGCTCTCAAACTCAAATTTGAGAGTTCCAGCTAAAGTCACTGGCCTTGAAATCTAATCAGAGCGTTTCTGCCCAAGTTCCTTTATGAAAGGTAAATGTTTCCTAAGAGACAGGGATTGATTGTAGTTTCTTGTGATTAAGATCTATCTCTGCTACAAATAATTAGATCCCCTTCCTTACAAAAGCCTTAATATAGGCTACAGTGTCTTTTTTTTTTTTTTTGTCTTGAAGAGATGAGTTGTGCTACCTCAATGGAAACATGATGGATTTCTAACTTTCAGTTTATGTAAAGAAGAGTGGCTACTGTCTGAACCATATTTGTCTTTTCAGAAGTACCTCACAGATACCACATGCAGTGCTGCTCCAAGACAGACTCTGAAAATGATTCAGCCTTCAGCAGCAGGTAGCCTGGTTGGCAGACATAATGAGGTATGAACCAAAAGATAATCTGTAGATATAGAATTATTTCTAGTCATTGTGAAATGCTTTTGAGCTTTTAACTGAAAGCTAATATACTTGAAAAAAATCTAATGTGCTAACTAGTGTGACACAACTAAGCTTACTATTGGTCTGGTAATAAACAATATTAAAACCTAGCAGTTTGAGTTCTTTGAGTATTAAGAAAGATGTCTAAACTAGAATTATAATGTGAAGAAAGCAGGACTTAGAGACTTATTTGCAGTCACGAGTGTGCAGGCTTAGAAGTTTCTATTTTTGTGAAGGCTGAGATGTTGCTCTAAACTTGAACCTGCCCATATTTTATGCAGAAGAAATCTTCAGTCAGAAGGAAACTCTGGAATAACAAGTTTGCCTCAAAGGCTTGTAAAGCTGAGGTGTCTGTGGACAAGGAGCAAGAGAATGAGAATGTTATTCAGGCTGAAGATCTCATGATGAAAGGTATGTGGTAATTCCTGAATTGTTTTCTTGCACTTTAAATATTATGCTGCTGTTGGAGTACTACTTGAAATGTATTTCCTTTGTCATTTAGATAAAGGCTTTGTGGGTTTTTTGTAATGTCTACCAGGAGTTGATGATACTTATCCCCTATATTAAATGAAGTATAGATGTCTAGTATTTAAGAATGAGTTCTTGATAACCAGAAGCTGAGAACCATTGTGTGCAGCAGTGTTAAAGAGTCTTGTAGTTTATTTTGGCTGGGGTATACGTTTTTATAAATGACTAATAAATAAGTTGAAATGAAAGCCTGATCTGGCAGTGTGTGTGCAGTTCCTCAGAATAGTTATGCCCAGTGTGGACAGTGACTTGGAAGTAAAACTTCTGTCTTCCACAAAGCACACATTAAGAGCAGCATTTGAAAATGTGGCTGTCTTGCAGAGCCTGCTGCCATGCTTGAGGCAGCTTCCTGAAGGTACTGTACAGCCGTGGTACAATGCTGTGTAGGATCTATTTCCTGTAAGCTTGTGTCACTAGTTGTTCTACAGCTAATCTTTGAAAACACTATATGGAATGAGTTTAGTATCACAGCTCATAGAATACTTGTATACAAGTTAGGTATCTTAAGAAGTCAGTCTTACCACCTACTTACTTTAGCCTCTAACTTCAGGAAGTCCTTCATCTCAGTATTGGAAAGAAGTGGCTGAAGAAAGGAGGAAGGCTCTGTATGAAGTGCTTCAGGAAAATGAAAAGGTAGCTACTCAAAAATACCTAACGGCTTCATTACTGGCCAGCGTCTTCTAATATTTTGTTATTTGTACTCAGTTGCACAAAGAAATCGAGCAGAAGGATGGTGAAATTGCCCGCCTAAAAGAAGAAAATGAAGAGCTCCTGTCCCTTGCTGAGCATGTGCATTATATGACCAGCGTGATTGAGGTACTTAAAGCAATTTTCAGTTAATGTTGTAGAACAAAAAAGTGAGAACCAGCCGAAGTACTTATAACGAATCATGACTTCTGTTATATGTGCTCACATGACTCGTCATTTTAAATTGTTCTGACCTATTTCCTGCAGGTCTGCTCTAATTCTAGCTCATAAAGCTCCTTCTAGGGGATGCATTTTTTCCCCGTATTAGAACCTGTAGGAGTAATGAGAGTACTAAGATGGATGTTTTCTGAAGGAGGAGTTCAACCTACTCTCTTAACAGAACAGCATTTTCATATTGGAGATTGTGATAAGGGAAGGAAGAGTTGTTTTTTTCACTTTTTTGGGATGACTTAAGTTTATGTGCTTAATTGGTTGGTACTGGCTGTGTCCTTTGAGAAACTGAACTTGAAACACTCGAAGTAGAGTGGTGAGAGGGAGTGCTATGCTCTTTAAGGTCAAGGCAGTGCCAGTTTCACAGCCCAAAGAGGGCTGGACACAAAGTCTCTAGGGCTTATAAACTTGTAAATTTCCTAACAGCTCCCTCTGAGAATTCCTTGGGGCAAGTAGTTGTGTCACTAATTCCGTGGCTCCTTTAGCTGCAGTGGATTGTTTGTAAGAGCCTCTGAAGCTGTGATAAATACAGATAGCTGTGGAGCCTTGATGTTCTAGTTTTCAGATTGTTCTTGCAGGGGTCTTAAGCTCTTACGAAGCTGGGTGCCTTGCAAATACTTTGATTCTGTGATGACTAGACAGGAGGTGGAAACAAAATGAAATATTATTGCAAGTAACTTGTTTAATCAAGAATTAAACTTTATCGAGTTAATTTTCAGTTAGCGCAGTTATTTAGATCAGCCTTGAAAGACTACTGTTGTGCTACACTTGAGTTTTTTTGGTATTCAGGGAGTATTGCTTGTTAGTGATAAACCCATGGGCAGAAATTACATTGCTTGCTGACTTTGAACTAATGTAGTTGGAGACTTCTCTACAGTTTCTCAACTATTGTGGTCACTTACTAGTTGTAAGCTGCTCCCTTCTGAGGGTTAAATAAACCTTAAGGATGTATCAAACAACCAGAATCTTCAAAACCAGCCTATTTACAGTCCTGCTTATCTTCCTTAGATCAGATTAGGTGAGGAACTTCTAGGTTATTCAAGTGCTAGAGACTGTTGCATTTTAAAGTTCATCTAGCTTCATTATCTCTAACAAAAAGGGAATAAATTGATTGTACAGTAATTTTTTCTAAAATTAAACCTATATGCTACTATAGTAAACAATTAACTCTGGAACCAAGTGTTTTAGGTTGCCTGAGATAAAACCTGTCCTATTGAAGAACCTAAGAAAAACTTAACAGTCAACAAAGCAAATGTGGTCTAAAAGTTGAGGTAGTAACTTGAATTGAACTTGTCTTAAGATTTTTATAATTGAGGAATGTTTTGATTATATCAACAACCTCCAAATGAAGGTAATTAGCTTGCTTCATTTAATATGCAGAGTGTTATTTCATAGTTATTAAGTAGAAAAAAAACTAAATTCACTGTCTCCTCTCTTTGTAGAGACTAAGTGGACAAGCACCTGACAGTCCTGAGACACTGGAGAGTCTGGCTCTAGAGGAATCCAGACAGGAAAATGAAGAGCATAACTGTGGAGATGAGGCAGACAACCCTTCTGAAGAAAAGCCATCACAAGTATTGTCTGACTTAAGGGAGAATAGATCAGGTGTTCCTTCAGAGGAAGCAAGCCATTTGCAACTGGAATGACGACTTTTAAATAGGCTTATGTATGTGGCTTTTAATTGCAGACTTCCTCTTGAAAGAATATATTAAACCTCAGGTATAGAAACTCTTGTGGGAACATTACAGATGTTGGTACTTTTAACTGGAATTATGTAGCAGTGGGGGGAGTATCTGAATACTGCATGGAAAACTTACTACAGGCTGCATGTAGTTGCTTGTATGAAGCACAAATACTGTGTATTTCAACTGTTGTGTAAATATCTTTCTTATCAGTTGTCTGACACGATACGTGAAAATTGATAAATAAATCTTTGCATTACCAAAACAGCCTCTTAATTTACAGGTCAATGACTAATCCTAGGTTTAAATCAATTATGACTACTTAGATGGAAGCTTTCAAGTGTTTGGGGGGAATGGCTGAGCAGCTTCTAACTCTTTTTAGATTTGTAGAATTCTGGAGAACAAATCTGGGTTTTTTGGTGGCTAGAGGGAAGGGAAAAAGCAAAAACTGGTGTGCTGTTGGTGAGGTTTGAGAAAGTCAAAATAGGGTAATAAGAGTCAAAATCTAAAGGTCAGTTAGATGTATGATTTTCAGATTTTTTAAAATTAATTTCTTCTGCCTTCCAAGAAAATATTTTGCAAGCTGTGTAATGAGAGATCAAGTAGGAAATATTAGACCATTTCTTTTAGTAATTCGTTAGTTGGCTTATGAAGAGAAGGCAATGTGTTCTTGGTCCCAATAGCAACTGTGCTGAAAACTAGGTGGAAACAAAGCAGCCTATACTTCAGAGCTATTCTGGAAGGAAACTCGGTGTTTTCAAGGCACTGCTCTGGTATTTAGCAAGAGATGAGACACCCTTTTACCAAGGTACTTAGGTTCTGAAAGGTTTACAGGAATAGAAAGTGCTCTTTAAAACCTTGAGCACCGTATCTGGCATCTGCATGGGGTGTGACAGGGCAGGAGAGCAAGTTCAATACAGATTTTCCAGAACTGACTGAACTCGGGGCAGTTGTGGTATAACAAGGCCCTCTTCTAAGGAGAGGCTTTAATAATGGTGGCTGTTGCAATATCTTGGGAGGAGCTTAAAGTTGAGTGGCTTTCAGGAGGCAGAAGTGATTAGAAGGATCCTGCTTTGTGGATCTATCTGGCCTTGCCAAAGATGGTTGCTTCAGGGTATGTGTGATAATTCTGGAGCTATCAGATTGGCACCTTTATTTTCCTTCTGTTTTACTTCCTGTGGCTGCTGATAAGTTAACAGATGTTTTACAACTGATTTTGGTTGTGACATCCAGGAAATGTCAGAAACCATTGTAGGTGGTAATAATCCTGACTGCCATTTTACCTCAGGCATGGTAACTACAAAATGAAGCATCAGTTTCTTGAGAACTTTGTAACACAAGATTGTATCTTCTAATGTGTGCTTCAGAGGGTGTTTAGTCATATTCCTTTCCATCACAGTGCTGAAAAGGTGGTAAAGGTGTGTCCTTTGCCTTGCACTGATGCTCGCTTGAAGAAAAAAACCAAAACTGGGTGCTGGGCAAATGCTTTGTAGAGCAACCTTGTTTTTCTGTTAAGAAGTGGAAAATGCTTGTCAAGTGACTTAGATTCTGAGATGGAAGTCTAATCAATTTTCTTAAAGTAGTTTAACATTAGTGAATAAGGAAACACCAGTTTTATTTTGATATAATTGGTTTTTGCCATTCAATTTAGCTTAAGTTATTAATTGTTGACTATAATTTTTAGGGGTGGCTTTATTTTTAAACATTAGGCATATTCCATTTGCAGAGGCTGTAGAAGGCAAGAGGGGACTGTAGTGTGACTAGCAGGCCAAAATGAGACCGCAAGTGTGCAACTTTTCCACTATTTCACTTCCTGCTCTGTGAACTGCTGTAGTTCTGTTGTTGGAACAGAACTGCCAGAAAGAGACAAATCCAGAATTTGTGTTCAGTGTCTGTGTTTCTTCAGATTCTTCAAGAAGAATGTTTATTAGGTTTAAATCATAAGGCTTTTCTTGGATTGTTTTTATTTAAATAAAAGATTTAAGTCCTTTGGTATGCTGGATCCTTCTGTTGCAATAGCCTATGTACAAATAAATCATGAAAGTTCTGCAAGTAGGATGATGGGTGTATTGCAGCAACCTGTAATAGAATAAATTTTTACAAAAAAAGACATGTGCCACTCAGTAATGCATACTAATGTTTTAAACCAGGACTACTATGGTTTTATTAAGTGCAGTTTGTTAGCAGAGAGGATAGTTTGCTGTATAAACTGAAAAAAACTGTGATGCAGGAGGCCAGGTGTGAGAGCTAAACTGCTAAAGTAATAAAGCCTATGTGCATGCTTTGTCACAGGTGCATTGAACCTTGATCAGACACTGAACTATGCCTACTGTATCAGACATTAATGTATGGAAATGTTCTCAGCAGTTTTATGATGCTGCAATAATTGGTGTTTTAAAATGTTCTAAAAGGATTGAGTTTATTGTTCTGAAAATTCCCAAGTGCTTTTCTTGCACATGAATGCAGTAGCACTGTGCTATATATTAAGTCTAGGAGCTTGGTATTTATATGCTAACAGCTTGTTAAGGGTGTAGAAATTATAAAGAGATTTGTTTGTGATGAGTTCTCTTACAACTATATGCCATTTGAAGTATATAGTGAAACTCATCACTGAAACATAGTGATATAGCAGCTGAAAATCAACATCACTAAAGACAACCTTTATATCCAGCTAAATTAGAGAGAACATTCTATCTAGCACAATAAAATTATTAGTTCTGAAACCTAACTACAGAATGTGATTCTTTTCAATAAGTCAAATGCATTTGTGCTACCAGCACCTTGACTCCTTTTCACTGCAGAGAGTACAGACGTGATCTTGTCTTTCACTGAAGAGGCTCAGGCTTTGTGGAAGTGGGATGCAACTACAGTGTCCTAGCACTTCTCCCATAAAATGTGCATGTCTAAACGGGGCTGAATTTCAGCCATGCAAGAGTGAGGTGTGGGGAGGTGGGTCACTTGCAGGTGTTGTACGTTTCAAAAATGAGCAGCTGTGCAGGGACAAGCAAACCACATAACCACATTAATTAGACCATAATAGCTACTTGCATGGGCAGCTGAAACTCATTTGGTTTTTGGCTTTGGATTGCTTATATGAGGGCCTGCACCAGTGTCCTGTGCTGCAGCTTACAGTGTGGCCTCTGCATAAGCAATGAAGTTAGTCATATGTTCTTTTTTTTTTTTTTAAGAACATGTGATGCATATTCATCTGCTTTTCCTCAAGGGCCATCTGAGGTTGTTTTCAGAACTAGATTTGAGAATTTAATAAGATGTACAAACTTTGCCAAGGCTGTGCTTTTTCTGCACTCCAATTTTCTTCAGACTGAATTGCATTGTCATCAATGATTTTTCAGCAGAAAATGTTTATTGTGTTATTTGTTTATCTTTCCATTCTTGGAATAACACAAAGCTGTTCAACAACTGATAATGGTGTTATAAGGAACCTTAATTTGCTGCTGTTTATTGACCTGCTGGCAGCTGCCTGTAATGAAATGTGATCAGTTGTGAGGACACATCTATCCTACCCTCGGGGGCACTGCAGCCATTTGAAGCTGTGTGCTGTGGGTCCTTTCAGGACATTCCCACTGCAAAGCAGGGAGCTATACTTAAGATACAGTGTCTGGCAGTTGTATTGACTCCTAATTTTTAATGTAATACACATTAATCTGTGTATCACAGACTGCAGGATATGGTGAAGCTGGAGGATAACTTTTCTGAATGTCTGATGGATACAAGAGCCTTGCCAGTAGCAGAGTGAAACTGGGCAGCCTAACATGCTGCTGCTGTAGCTACAGTAGTATAGGGGTGCTACAGGTTTCTGTTTATGGGGCCAAATGCTGAGACGGTGACAGCGTGGCAGGGGTAGTGAAAAACACTACAGCATAAGGTAAGGATACCTTTATCATGAGATAAACCCCCCTTCCCAAGTGCACTTCGAGCTGCCCATCTCTTCCACCTGCACTGCTGCTGAGCTACTTTGATATGGGAACTTTTTCTGAACATATGTTCCTGGGGTGGCCCTGACGTTTAAATTTGTCCAAGTAAGCCTCTTGCAGCCCTAAGAGCTTTTGTAATTATTGCCTGCTGCTTCCTTCTTTACTAGTTGGTAAGCATGAGCCTTGTGATGCTCACCTCTATGCACCTGGTTTTTCCTACTCTGCAAAGGAGTGCATTAACATACCAGGAAAAGGCAGCATTGTCAGCTCTGCAAATGTAAAAATGTACAAGCTATGAGACAAATAAATGGTTTGGTCATTTTTATTTGCCTTCAGGTTTTGGCAGCTTTAAGGTCTGTTCACTTTTTCACATTTCCTCAATGACTTTATTCAAAGCATAATTTGCTCCTTCCTATCTGGTTCTTTTGAACTGCATGCATGATTTTTAATGGTTGTAATGGTGTAGCAGATCAACTTTAGGCTAATAACTTTCTCGAAGATGGGGATTTAAACTACAATGAGAAGAGATACACTCTCCATTTGATGCTGTGCCTCTGTATGTGAACTGCCTCCTATTCTCTGCAGCTTTGACTCCCTGCTCCATAGGCAGCTCTACATTCCCCAAGGTGTGTGTTGTAAGCCTGAATGTTTGAAAAGGGAAAATTAATGGAAGGAATGTCTTCTGTCTGAGGATTGTCTGCCTTCACAGAAGGGAGGAGCAATCAGTGCAAGTTTGGTAACAATCCTGGAGCCTCTCCAGTACATTTTCTGGTAGTGCCTGTGGAGCCTTTCTTGGTAAGTATCTTGAATGATACACAAAACTGGCTTGCTCTGAACTTAAACTATGAGCCTGATAATGAAGAAGCTGCTGATGGAAGGAGTGACTATACATATGGACTGATGTGCTTAGTAATTAAAAATAATCTTTATTATAACTTAAATGTGATAGGAAATATGGTGAGTACAAATGCCACAAAACTAAAAGAAAAATTAAAAAAAAAAGTAGATACAAAAGGACGCCTGAAAGAATTCAACTGATGGGACAGGTGTAGTATAAAAACCATAACATGGCTGTTTCACCTTCTGCAAAAAGAATTTATACCCCTCAGTAAACAAGTAAGCATTTTGCACTGTACAAAATGTACTTCTTTAATTAAAGGGAGAATATATATATTTATAAATATACAGATATGTACATTCTTGTAACATTCACAGTAAAAAAAAAACAAAACATAATGACCCCTGCCTGCCAAAGTGTTTGGCTCACAAGGTTTCCTTTTGATGTGAACTGTTTGCAATATTTTCTATGTCATCTATGCAAA